CGTCGCCGTTTTTTGGCGCTGGCCGCGCAAGATGCGCAACAACTCTTGGGGTTCAGAGGTGAGTTGTTTCGTGGATGGGTCACGTAGCACCTCAATGCCACGAGGCTTATCGGCGTCCCGGTTAGCAATATCTCTGTGGCCCCACTTTGGCTGGCGGGCGTATTTCGCCCGCCACGCGGCGGCGGCGCGTTCCCAGCTCTGCAGTTTGTCCTTACGGAGCAAGGTGCGACGCTCCATCCTGATTGCGTGTAGACGTTGCTGGAGCGCCGTCATAACTGAGCTCATGGGTGTGGTGGGCATGGAGGTGGCCGGGGCAGTTTGCGAGTGCCCTGCGCTCTCGGCGTTGGGTTCGCCCGCTGGGGTTGGATGCGTTGCCGTTGGTGGTGTTAGCAGTTGCTCCCTCAGGGTGCGCATGGCCTCTTCCACATCTTGTGCGGTAGCGTTGCACAACATCCCTTTTCCTCCGTGTCCTCGGGCCGGCCCCTCTGCGGTGTTCTCTACGGGTCCGAGCTCGGCCTCCATCTCAGCTTGCAGGGCTGCAAGCACTGCTTGGGCGCAATGCCATATATCGGGTTGCGCATGTAGTCGGCGCCGACCCACCTTGTACAAGCATGTGAGTTTGTCTAATTGCCGTAATTTTTTGCTGGCCTGCCTCCTAAGGTAGTGGCGGTCAGTGGTGGTGCGAGTAGCACAGCTCTGACGGGCAGTATCAAGAGCTTGTGCTAGGAGATCGTGTAGCTGATTGGCCAATTCCTCCACGGCCGTGGGTGGGACCCCCAAGTGTAGGGCCTTGGCCTGAAGGGTAGCGGCGTAGTCTTCAGGTACGTTGGTCGTTGCCATCGTCATTGCATGTGCCTGTTCTAGCCGCCCAGCCCAGTCTGTGGCAGTGCGCGCGAAACATGATATGCCCCGGTGCGCAGCTGCCTCAAAGGCGTCCCTGTAGCCCGTCAACTCAGCTATGCTCATTGGCTGCTGGAACACCGTTCTGCTGCGGAACGGGACATGTGTCTGCGGGGGTGGGCGTACGTATCCCAGGGCAGAGCACGGTAGGCGCACTTCGTACGGCTCGTGGTCGCTGTTTCCCCCTGCTGCCGGGATTTGCCACGGTGCTGGGGCCCATTTTGTTACCTCATCGGGCAGAGTGGGCAAGCAAATGAGTACGTCATCGATTGTGCTACGCACTGCCTGTCCACCCACGACATGCTGGCAGTAGGTGGGCTCTCTGGGTTCGGTAGGGTCGGTGGGGATGCCGCCTGCTGGTGCCAATTGGCAGGTGGCCGCCAATTCTCTGTGTGCCGTGTCCACATGGTGTTGGCTACCAGTTGACCTGTCAGCATTCCGCAGGGTGGCGTTCCAATCGCCGGCCAGCACTAGCGTGCGGCCTTGTTGTGCACACGCCCTGCTGATTTCCGAGATGTAGGTCCCAGCTGCCCGGCGCGTGTGTTGCTCGTCGGCATCGCTGGGGAGGTAGACCCCAATAATGTCAAGCGGCCTGCCTGCCGGCGGCGTCAGCCTCACATGGCCGAGGTACCCTTGCAGTTGCGCCGGGACTGTCTGCGGTGTCAAGCTGTTGTGTGTCGTGTGCCTCTTGGCCATTGCCACCAGGACGCCTGCCTTGCCGCGGCCGGGCTGGCCCGCGTGGCTGAGCAGGCTACCACCAGGCAATACGCTCATGGTAATTTTGTATCCACGGTGCAACAGCTTGCGGTACACGTTTTTACGCTGTTGTCTGCTGTTGATTTTGAGCTCGGTCAGCACGAGCGCATCTGGATCGAGTTGCACCAGTGCCTCTATCGCCCCTTCTGCGGTGGTGCCGCCCATGCAGTTGAAGGTGGCCACCTTAAATTCTCCCACCGGCCCTGGTGCCGGTGCGCAGGCCTCGGGGTCCAGCCCGGGTGGTGCTGCCTGTGTTGCGCTCTCGCTGGCACTGAGTGGGGCAGCTACACCAGGGTCGGCTAGTTCTGCCATGAGTGTCTCGCCTGTCGTGGCAGCCTGTCGTGTTTTGCCTCGGTTGGGCAGGGATGCACGGGACAGCCGCGCCTGGCGTTGGTGGTGGGCAAGCAGTGGCAGGCCCGCTTGTGCCCGTTGGGCTGCCTTGCCCATCGCTTCCTGGATGCTGGTCTGCCGTGTTCCTCGGTCGCTTTGCTGGTGCATGGCTGTGTGTGTGCATCGCTGCCCGGGCGACCCGCTAGGGCTGGGTGGCGTCTCCCCCTTCTTTTTGCGCATCCGGCTGGTGTCTTGTTGAGTGCTCTTCTTTGCGATTTTCCTCCTGCCCTCGCTGGCGTCAATGCACTTGCGCTTGAGACTCTTGCCGGTGGGCGGCGCAGGGCTCTGTTGGGATCCAGTTCCCCTGTCAATGTCGATGGCCTGGGCTGCCGCCACGCTCAGCCGTGTCTGATGCCGCTGGGCGAGGCGTGGTGGTGGTCCATCACCCATGGTGCCGATAGGCTGAGCTGCCTTGCCTGGCGGTGGTGGAAAGGGTGTTGGGCTTGGTTTCGGGCCCGGGCCGCCGCTTGCCCCTTGGCGGCCACGCCTGGCCATGGCTGGGCGGGGCGCGAGAATGTTTTGGACAGAGGTAAGGACCTCTTCAATTAGGTGCCGCTCGGGGGACTCGTTTGGTAGTTGGTGCAGTTCGTAGCGGGTCTGTGTATCCCACGCCCAGCCGGGATCCCTCCCTGCGCCCTGCTCATAGTAACCTTGCAGGTGTAGGTCATGCTGCTCGGTCACCGAGAGCAGGGCACTGTAATGGGCTGCCGTCGGTAGGAACCCCGCCTCGAAGTGGTTGGGGCGCCAAGGCGTCGTCTCCACAGGTGCCCCACCGCCGCAGTATGCCCACATCTGTATGATGGGGAGTTTGGATGCATAGCCCCCTTCCCGGACAAAGAGAGGTGGGATGTAGCCGCTCTCAAGCTCCCGGTGGGGGATCATTTTGTGTCCCGGGTTGAAAAGTAGGATCGGGCATTGTAGCACCGAGGCCGCGATTGCACTCGCCAGTCCGCTCAAGGAGCTTGCTGGTTTCGTCAGGGGGGTAAACACTGACGCGCCGTAGTCAGTGCTCGCCACCCCTGGGCCTGACTCTGCCTGATGATAGCGGGCAGAGTTGACCAGGAAGTGGAGCAGACACCGCAGACGCAACGCCACCCAGCCACTCTCTTCGCTGCCCAGCACCGAGATCAGCAGTGAGCGCAAGTGGCAGTTACCATCCCCCTCGGTGTGCTTCAGCTCGAGGCTGGGGATGGGGTGTAGCCAACTAAGGTACGTACTGCCATATGCGTCAAACCCAGCACTGTTAGGGAGGCCGGCTACGTCCCCAGCTAGCAGGCCCTGTATGCCATCTACAGGGGGCAGAATCCGCTCGACGCAGGAGGCTAGGATCCTCATGGCCAGGTGGTTCCATTTGTGCCCCGGGCGCTCCTGTGGCAGCTCTGGGTCGCAGGGCATGCGTTCCAGTTGTGCTGCTGCATATCGTATGCGCCCCATTATGGCTAAATGGTTCATTCATTCATTCAGCACACAGACCGGCCGCCTCTTGCTCGAGGGCGGCCCACTTTGGCCTGGGCAGCCCGGGCCGCCCTCCCCCCCGGGCGCATGTTCGGTGTTGGAGGGGTGCGCCCAGCGATAGGGGGCCCCTGAAGGCATGCGCCGAGGCCGGGAAGCGTGGTTCGGCGCTGCTGCACGCTTGGCGACTTGAACAGAACCGCGTGCCGCCGAGCTGCGGCCGCAGTTTCCGGCCCACAGTCTACGGCCGCAGCCACGGGACTCGGCGGCACGGCGTTTGGGCCCAAGCTTGCTGCCGCCGCCGCCGTGCCCGGGGGGCAGCGCGGCGGCGGCGGCGGCACGCTGCGACGCCCCCGAGCCACCGAGCTGCGGCCGTAGCTTCCTGCCAGAAGCCCACGGCCACAGCCACGGGACTCGGCGGCACGGCGTTTCGGTCCACGGCTTGCTGCCGCCGCCGTCGCAGGGGTGCTGCCTGCGGCGGCGGCGGCACGGCGTTTGGGTCCACGGCTTGCTGCCGCTGCCGCCGCCGCAGGGGTGCTGCCTGCGGCGGCGGCGGTAGCGCACGTGGCAACCCCCCGCGCTTCCGCCTCCCATCCACCGGACCCCGTCCTGCGCTTCACTTTGTTTCGGGAGGGGCTGCTCACTGCTCATTGCTCATTGCTCATCGCACACTGCTCAACGCTCATTGCCCTATATCCCACCCAGCCGCAGGACTCTACTGCCGCCCGCGCCCCGCCCCATCTGGCCGCTTGCGCGCCCCATCCCCCCTCGATGGGGCCCGCCCACACCGGGGCCTCCCCCCTCCCGCCCACTGCTTTCTCAACGGCCCCGAGCCGGGGCTGCCCTCATTGCATACATAGTGCGCCTTTCCCTGCTTTTCTAGTGACCTAGCGTTCCGCACTGCCGTTTGGCCAGCCCATGCTCCCGTACCGTTGCGTTTCTCCCCAATGCGCCATGCCACTTTGCCAGTCATACACACGTTTCGATGCGTGCCCTGTCAGCTGCTTGCGTTGCATGTCGCCTTGCTCCACCCCTGTTTTATTGCTTTCTCTGCTTTCGCCCGGTTCCCGTCCCGTTTCGGCGGGGAGTCTATGTTGCAAGCTAGTTCTTGCTTTACCAGACTTTAAGCCCACACAAGCATTATGGCTGTGGCTGCCGCGTCGCTCACCCCCAGCCAGCTCTCTACTCGTTGTTGTTGCCGGGGCGGTGGCCCTGGGTTCTCCTCCACATCCCCACTTAGCAGGAGCTTCATGCGCTTTACAAGGGCGGTGGTAGAACACGAGCATGGGAGGCGCAACGTGCTAGCGCCGGCGATGGGGGTCGCCTGACGGCGCGCGTGGTGGCGTCGCATGGGACACCTACAGCTAGGGGTGCGTGCTGCCACGCCCGCCTGGGGGCTGGGAAGGCACTCGACCTTGACAAAGGGCACGGTGGACAGCAGGGCGGGGTCCTTGATGTACACCACGGCGCGGGTGCCGGCCATGGAGGGGTTGCCGGCGATGCCATGCACCTCCACCGAGAGCTGCTCGGCGAGCGCCTCTGGGGCCGTCCCCAGCTTGTTGGCCAGACGGCCAAGGAACTGTAGGGAGGCAGGGGGCGAGTGCGCGGGCAAGGGCGGGGGCAGGGTGTGATGAGTGACGTGGGGCTGGGTGAGGGTTTGCATGTGGTGGGAATCAGGGTGCTGATCGGTTGCAGGGGCGGCTGGCAGCGTTTCCTGGCGGGGGCAGGGTGGCTGGCGTGCTGGGCGGGAGGGGCAGACATGGCAGGCGCCGCTCATTGAGCAAGGGCAGAGGTGGTGGGCGGGGCTATGGGCTGCTCCGCTCCCAGTCACCTGGGTGTTGGCGGCCTGCTTGAGGATCAGCTCGCCCGAGGGGCCCCGGTTGTAGAGCCCCTCGAACAGTAGCGGGGTGCCGTTGGCGTTCTTGATGCCCAGCACCCCGTTGTGGATGTCGGAGTTCTTCACAGGCACGCCCTGCCCCGCCATGGTGCAGTGCTTCCCCGCGGGTGCCTTGTGGAACCCGCGGCCGCGCAGTTTGATGCCCATGGTCAAGCCCACGGTAGGCAGCATGGGCTTCTGCGGGGCTGCACAGCGGCAGTGGGGGGTGCCGGCGGTGGCGGGGGTTGGGGATGTATTGGTGGGCTGGCTGGATGGTGCGGCGGCCCTAATCAGCTGGCATGGGGGGGTGGGCTGTTGGTGCATCTCGCAGCAAAGCGGGGCTGCTGCCGGTCGGCTGGGCAAATAAGTTGGCGGCTCACCGCTCTGTGCAGCCTTGGCAGCCCGCGCCGGGCGCAGGCGGGAGAGCTCCAGCATCGTCGCCTCGTTGGCAGCGGCGAGGTCCGCTTCCTTGGCGGCGGCCTTGGCGGCAGCCTTGGCTGCCGCCTCGCGGCGGTGCGCCTTGCTCGCTGCAGGTAGCAAGGAGCAAGTGGGGGGCGTGGGGTCAGACAGGGTGCCCTGGGATTGGGAGGCGGGGGAGGTTCTGCCAGAATGCGCAGTCCAAGCGCAGGCGGCATGCCTGTGGGAGCATGGCAGGCCCGGGCCGGGCAGGGTTGCGCTAGCCATCACCGAAAGCATGAGGAGCAGCAGCACCCAGCGATGCAGTGCTGGCAAGGCGCGCCGCTGGCCTGGGCGGGGTGCATGCTGGTTGCTGCGCCAGGGCGGGTGATGCGGCGGGGCGGCATGCTCACTCTTCCTCGTCTCCGGAGTTGCCCCGGGCGAGCGACCGCCCATGGAGCGCTTGACCCCAGCCGTAGCAGCCTGCGGCATGTTCTCGTCGCCGCGGCGGGCAGAGCCGCGTTCATAGGCTGGGTTGTCGGCCATCACGAAGTCAGCAGCGCCCTCGCAGGCGCTGCTGCCGTTGCCGCCAGCGGCAAGCGGGTTGGCGGCGGCCGCGTCGGCCAGCACCAGAGAGTATGGCACCGCGGGGTCCACCATCTTGCTGCGAGCATCCAGGAGGTGGGCAGGGTGATGGTGGGAGATGCGCTGGGAGGGAGTTTCAAAGCAAAGAGTTTTTGAACTTGCAGGCGTAGGGCCGGCGCCCTGGGCATCAGCTGGCTGGCCCCGGGCTGGCGCGCCTAGTGCAGGGGTGCTCCCTGTGAGCACAGAGTTCAGTGTGAGGGCCTGGGCGGACCTGGGGGAGGGCATTGATGGTCGCTTCCCTGCTCGGGGGGCGCCCGCAGGCTGGCTCTGGCCTTCACTGATGGTTTCCGGGTGTGGAGAGGGGCACTCTGTGGCCGAGTGAGAGCTGTGCAGGCGGCTGTGCGCTTTGGGGGGTGGCAACACGTGGGCTGGCCTCGGGGACCGGCCTGTGGGGGTCTGGGCGGGCTGATTCTGGCCCCTGGTGTTGAGAAACACGGTCTGGGGTGCGTGGGAAGCAGTGCCCGCAGGGCTAGCTGCTGGGTTGGAGGGGGCAGTGGCCTGAGTGGCCGGGCACGGCTGGACCAGCCTCTCTCCCCCTCTGGCGGTGGGAGGTCCGTGCCCTGGGTTGTTTGGCGTGCATGCAAGCCCGATCGCTGGCATACACACCCCGCAGGGCACCGGCTGTCACTCCCGACCGCCGACTGTTGGTGCACTCTCTGCTACTGCGTGAGCTCACATACTATACGCAGCCAGTCCTGCAGTAGGGATAGAAGGCAGCCAACGTCGGCGGGCAGTACCTTCTGTGCCTGAGCCTGAGTGCCGCCACGCTGGATGGGCCGGTGGCGGCGCTGCTGTCTCAGTTCAAGCCCTATTTCTATCAGGCGCGTTCTGCATGTCAGTGTGTTGATAACTCATGTGCCAGCTACCGGCTGGGAGGAGGGCCTTCGGGAGGCAATGGCTGACTGTTGGTCCTGCTGTGCTGCCAGGTGCAACCCCTGCCGCCTGCTGGGCTTGAGGCCCCTGCCTCCCGCTGCCCACCCCTCCCTGCTGCCACCCTCCCAGCAGATCACCGTCCCGCCCTCGCTGGCGCGCCGCTACCCCGGGCTGAGCGCGGTGCTGGCTGCGGCTGGGAACCCGTCGGCGCCGCCCTCTGCCCCAAACCACACTTCCTTCCGCACCCTGGACCACATGCCCTGGGCCGCCTATGCCAAGCCCAACAACGGCAGCTCCGCCACCGCCCAGATCTTCGAGGACCTCGTGGTGCCGGGGCTGCAGGCCTCCATGGGCTGGCAGACCTGGCGCACCGCCTACGGCAACTTTGGGCCTGAGACCTGCCTGTACGATGCATACGAATCCCAGAACGCCACCTGCGGCATCCAGCCCGGCGGCTGGGCCTCCATCAACATCCAGAACCTGTCGGTACCGGCAGGCGTACCGCCGCCTGTGGACCCCTGGGCCGCACCGCCAGTGACCGCCTGGATGAGGTGACGCTCATGCTGGCCGCCATGCACTGGCTGTGTCAGGCCGTGCGAGGCTGCGGCGCTGGCTGGGCGTGGGACTGTGGGCGTGGGGCTGTCTGGCTGGACCTGCGTGGAGCCACGCGCCTTCCTAAGATCGCCCAAAACGCCGCTGCTGCCGCAGCTGCGACGACCACTCCAAGTGGGGCGCCGCGCTGCCGCTGGGGAACACCACCGCCGCGCCGCCTGCGCCCTGGGTGTGCTTCTGCGACAACAACCGGTGAGCTGAGTTGTGGTGTGGCAATAAGGCCAAGAGCAGCTGCCAGCTCTGCTCCTTTGCCAGGGCGACAGGTACCCTGGCAAAGTATCGATGTGTGACCACAGCTGTGCCTGCCCTTCCGCGCCGTGCAGGGAGTGGAGCCAGAGGTACCGCGGCGGCGCCTGCACCTGCACCAAGTCGGCGCCGCTGTGGCGGGCCTGGGCTGCCACCGTGCAAGCCGCCCCCAACACCTGCAACAGCTCGCTGAGTGAGCAGATCCCGCGGTGCTGCCACCGTCAGCGTGCCCTGTGCCGTGGCCGGCCTGGGTCCCTCCCATACCATCCAGGGGCCCCACCCACCACCCACCCCTGCCCCTCGCCTCAGCCTGCCTCCGCTATGCTGGTGCGCTGCTCCTGCAGACAATGAGGGCACCTGCCCCGCTGGCCGACCCATCTACGCCCCCATCGCCAGCGGCAAGGGGTGGCGCTGCATCACGTGCTTCAAGGCTGGGCTGGGGTGCAGCATGGCGTGCTCCGCCGCGGGCTGCTCGAAATGTGAGCCTCAGGCCGCCGCGTTGGCTGTAGCTGTGCTGCCGCCTGAGGGGTGCTGAAAGCCGTTTGCATCGGGCACTGCCTGCTCAGCACGATCCCATCGGCGCAGCCATGCTTCTTGCACAAGCAGCACGCTGAGCACAACGGGTCGGCACGCCCTCTGATAGCATGTCCCTGCCTGCTTGCCTGTCTGGCCTCCCTCCTGCAGGTAAGGCCGGTCAGTTCCTGGCCCTGCCAGGCACACCTGGAGCCGTAACCTTCAGGGCTGGTGGTCGGTCCAAGTCATATGCAGCCTGCCGACCGTGCAGCGGGCCCAGCTCGCTCGGATTTGGCGCCGCCTGCCGCTCCTGCAGCGCCTCCAAGTGCCTTGGCTGCAAGTGAGTGAGGCTGGCCGTGCCGGTGCTGGCTGCACCTGGCGCTTTGTCCGGAAGCTGTGGCGTCGCCCAGCCTGCCTTGCCCTTGCAGGGCATCCAGCAGCGCCGCTGAGGCTGAACCCCGTGCCCTCCTGCTGCCGCCTCCGCCGCTCCCCTGCAGGTCTGGCTGGCGCCCTGGCGGCCCGCGGGGCACATGCACAAAGTGCCGAGTGCCAAACTGCGCCGACTGCCGGCTGGGAGCCAAGTCGTGCCGCGCCTGCGCCAAGGGCTACCGCCTGTCGTTGCAGCTCGGCGGCGGCAGCAGCGTGACTCGCTGCGTGCGGCGCTGACGCAGGCTGAACTGACAGTAGCGGCTTCTGGTGTCCAACCACCAACGTTTCAATAAGAAAGAAGAAGCTGTCGTCATCATCAGTGCAGTACCGCCAGCGATGGCAGCCAGCCGGCCCTGAAACTGCTTTGTTTCTGCTGGTGGAGCCACGGCGCTGCCGTTTCTTACGCTGCTGGATCATCGTAGTGACTGGGCGCATGTAATGCCTTGAAAGCTGCTGGTTTGTGTACGGGGAGCAGTGGCAGATACGATTTTTGGACACGTGGCTCTGCCAGGGTGCCTGCTGCTCTCCCTCGTCTCCGTTCTCTCTTTCTCGACAGCAGAAGATTGCGAACAGCTCCCTCGCCCACGTAACGTGAGAAACGCATGGGTTTGGCGTGTTCGGTGTGGTCCAACTGCAAGAGAGTGGAGCACTGTGGGAGCGTGCCAGCCAGAGTGCTGCGTTGCTCCTGGACACATCTGCATGCACCTGCAGGGTAGGAGGCCCGTATGGGGGCGCTCGACCCACAGGGCGCTACTGGCCATCCACATTGCTCCTGTGTGCGACCCTGCTGCCCTGCAGCCCACGCCATGGTGAAGCATGCCATCCTGGTTGTGGTGCTGAGCACCACCATCCTGTTCAGGTGAGCTCGCCGGGTGGCAGCGGCGGGACCGGGCCGCCCGGCGCGGCGCCCCACTTCTCCGTTCCTGCAACGCCTGCAGGTTAACCAACGTTGCTGCAGCCATCTGACTGGCGGAGTGCCAGGCACAGTGCTGCTTCTCAACACACTCTCCCGGCACTCCGCTTCTGTGCAGGCCCGTGGCGGCAGGCAGGGAGCTTCAGCAGGATGCGCCGAATTCCAACGGACGTGAGTGGGGGCCGCTCTCAGGCGACATGCAGGCGCCGGTGCTGTGGCGCTGCCGCTGGCAGCTGCCTCTGGAGTCAGGACCTCGCGCTCGGCCGTCAAGCGTGCCAGCAAGCCGCCCTGCCCTGCTCCGCCAGCCCACCCGCTAACACACCCCGCCCCCGCCTCCCGCGCCTGGCTTGCCCACCGCAGAGGGCGTGAGCTGCGCGCGCATCTGCCAGACCGGGCTGGACACCGACCGCGATCCAGCAGCGCTGAACGCCTGGCACGGCTTCTTTGACAGCTACGACTACTCGGGCAGCTACTCCGACTGCCAAGAGCTGCGCCAAGGACAAGACCGCCCGCAGGGAATACACCGACCAGTATGGCAACTCGTGCAGCGACATCTGCGAGAACGACACGGAAGGCTCCTTTGGCGGGTCGTCGGTGGAGGAGTGCCAGGGCTGCTGCGCCAGCTACTACCAGAACGGTGCGCCTGCTCGCCTCCTCTGCTCTGCTTGCTGGGCTGCCCCTCCCAAGTGGCCTCTGCCTCCGTCCGCACCCAGCCCCTGCCCACCCTCATACTTGCATCCCGCTGCGCTGCCTGCCCCCGCCTGCTTGCTGGATGCAGGCTGCAATCCCTGCACCGGCTTTGGCTGCTGAGCCGCTGCTGGCAGCGCATGCCCGCCTGGACCGGGCACCAAACCCTGCCTGCCCCGCAGCCGGCTGCAGGGTGGCCTTGCATTCTATGTGTCTGCCGTTGCGCTCGTTCAGTGGGCCCACTGAGCGTCCACCTGCTGTACAGGCACGCTAGGCTGTCTGAACCCAATTGCCGTGCGCCATCTCCGCTACCCACCCAGCCCTTTAGCGCTGGTGTGAGCCTGATGAATTTATGATTCTCCACTTTGGACTTACGAACCTGCACAGTCCCCCTTCCCCTGGATATTTGCTATACTATGAATAACACACAAGAAAGTTGGAGTCGTGGTCGGCGGCGCGCTTTGCGCGCTGAGGCGGCGCCAGCCCTTTTGGACCTCTATTGACCGCGGGAGTCTGTCAAAGCAACCCACGTCCGCTTCGGCGCCATACGAGATCACTGGAATGCCTCAAGGGGCAGTTTTGCCGTCTCCTTGCCGAACTTTGCAGGCTGATTGCGCGCAGAGGTCTGCTGGTGACCTTTCAGGCATCTTGGCGATGCGATTGGAACATGGACGCAGCACAGAGACAGGGCGCGGGCCCCCATCATTGTGTCTCCGCCCTACCGCCGCCTGCCTTGCCGCCGCTCGAACCCCGCCCGCCGCCGGTGCTTCTCCTCTCAATTGTGCCCTTCTGCGCTACACGGCAGGCCTGGATGCGCTGATCTCAAGCCCCAGCTGCTCTTGTACCTCCAATCCCGGCTGCCTGGCCCCTGTTTCCCCACCCCACTTTGTGACTAGGAAGTATGCCGCTTCCGGTGCCGCTCGACTGCGGCGAGGTGCTGGAGGGCAGCGCCGCGCCTGTGCAGCCATCCAGGAGGGCGAGGGGCTGGGCGTAGGTGCGGGTGCAGCTATCGCTGCTGCTGCCACAGGCGTAGGCGGCGGCTTCGGGCGGAGGCGGCAGCAAGTGCCAGCTGGCCTGGCCTGCGGGAAGAAAGACGCAGTCGAGGAAAGGTGAAAGGTGCGTGACCATTTTCAGCAGGCCTTAACAGCAACCCCCTCGCCACCCTCAGTGCGTGCCAGGTGAGCTGCAGGCTTGTGGCAGTGGGCCTGCTGGGGTGTCCTTGGAGGGGCAGTACGCGGCTGTTGCCAGAAACCCTTGGACTGCCCGTGCGACCCGCCACGGCAGTGTAGCGAGCGTGTGAGCCTCTGGGGTCTAGGGTCAGCATCGTCGGCAACAGACCCCCAACCGCACGCTCCGGCGGTGTCTCCCTACTGCGGCTCCGCAGACCGCCAACCGCCAACCTTTGCAGACCGGCTGCGCCCAGACCGCACCGGCCAAGATGAAGCCCGCCGCCCTGCTCCTGGCGCTGTGCGCTGGCCTTCTGCTCGTCGGGTGAACCGCGCGCCGATCCCGTCGCCGTCCCGCCCAGCTTCCTCCTGGCTGCCATCTCGCTTTTTCCATAGCTCGTCCTGCACCTCAATCCCCCAAGCGCTGTTTCTTCTGTGCCGCAGGTCTGTGATGGCCTCCAGGGAGCTCCAGCAGACCAGCTCGCAAGGACGTGAGTGGCGGTGGGGCCCGGCTTGATCTGCGTGCTGCCCGCTGTGGTTGCACAGTCGTGCTGCTGGCGCTTCGTGCAGTACGTGCCCTGCCCACTGCTCACTCTGTGGCCGGTTGTGCCAACCCATATGCCGTTTGCCCCGCCCTGCCGGCGCCCACGCCCGCGTGCAGAGGGCGTGAGCTGCGCGCGCATCTGCAAGACCGGGCTGGACGAGAGCCGCAGCGAGGCCTCGCTGGCCGCCTGGCGCCGCACCTTCCCCTACGACTACTCGGGCAGCTACTCCGACTGCATCAAGAGCTGCGCCAAGGACCAGACCGCCCGCAGGGAATACACCGACCAGTATGGCAACTCGTGCAACGACATCTGCGAGAATGACACCGAAGGCTCCTTTGGCGGGTCGTCGGTGGAGGAGTGCCAGGGCTGCTGCGCCAGCTACTACACAACCGGTGCGCCTGCGCCGACTCTGCTGTGCGTGACGAGGTGCCATCTGGAACAGCCTCCGCCTCCGCCTACACCCAGCCTCTGCTCACACGCATACTCGCATCCCGCTGCGCTGCCTGCCCCCGCCTGCTGGATGCAGGCTGCAATCCCTGCACCGGCTTTGGCTGCTGAGCCACCCCCGGCGCCCACCCGCCGGCGCCTCAGCCTTTCATGCCACACCCCCGGCGCTCTCCAGCACACCCCCTCCCGGCAACAGGTCTTGGGCGATAATATCCCAGCTTTGATGCATGCTTGTCTGCATAGCTACTGACCCTTGTAAATCTCCAAATGACACTCCAGCCAGCTGCCAGCAAGGGATTCCACTACTCTGGATGGCTCGTCTCACTGGCAGGCACGGATCAGGTCCCACAGAATTACAGGCAAGGCTAGCAAGAACTGAGAGGGGTGTGGCATCAGAATGTAGCAAGGACAGCTGCCGCCAGGAGCGGAAGAGCTAGCAGCCGCTGCCAGCTGCTGCTGCCTCCCCTGCCCCTCCTCGCTGCGGCGCCACTGTTGACGGCCACCTGCCTGCAGGTGTCAGGGGCGCTCTGCACCACTGCTGCCATGGCTCGCCACAGCGATGCCGCCTCCGTGCACGTGCAGGCGCCGCCACGGGGCGCCTGGCTCAGTTCGCTGCGGGAGGCGAGGTTGGGGAGGGCAGCGGGCACAGCATGGGACGCAGGCGGCAGCCAGCGTTCCAAAGCCAGCTGCTGCCACAACACACATCCACACGCCAGCACTCACCGGTTGTTGTCACAGAAGCACACCCAGGGCGCAGGTGGCGGTTCCGCGCTGATGCCGCTGCCGCTGCTGCTCCCGCTGCTGCCATCCAGCGGCAGCGCCGCCCCCCATTTGGAATGATCGTCACAGCTCCTCCACGCAGCCACCGGTGGCTGCACCAGCCCATCCCCAGAGCTCTGGGGCTCCTCGCCTGCTGTGGCAGGGGATGCTGCTGCCCTCAGCGTCCCTGCTAGCCCTGCTGGCACCGACAGGTTCTGGATGTCGACGGAGGCCAGGCTGCCGGGCTGGATGCCGCAGGTGTTGTTCATGCTCTGGTTGGGGTCATACCGGCAGGCCTCCGGCCCAAAGGCCCCAAACTGGGTGCGCCAGGTCTGCCAGCCCATGGAGGCCTGCAGCCCCGGCACCACGAGGTCCTCGAAGATCTGGGCTTGGTCGGCGGGGCCGCTGTTGCCCTTGGCAAACGCGGTCCAGGACACGCCGCCGGCGGTGGAAAACGTGGCGGTGGTGGGGGCACCAGGCGCTGCCGAGGGGTCAGCAGCATCGGCCAGCACGGCGATCAGGGACGGGTAAGTGGCTGCCAGCTTGCTGGGCACGCTGGCCTGCACACCGGAACACGACAGCCAGAACGCAGAATTGCCAGACGCAGCAGGATGGAGCATGCAGGCAGCAAGAACATGGGCTCACAACAGCCGGCCGCCTTCCTGCCCCTGCATAGCCCACCAGCTAGTTAGGCCACTTGCCTGGTAGAAGTAGGGCTTGAACTTGGACAGCAGCGCAGCCACCGCGCCATCCAGCGAGGAGGCGTTCAGCGACAGGCACAGCGCATGCTGCCCCAGGCACGTCTCGGGCCAGGGAACGTATGCCCAGTGCGGGGCGCCGTCGGTGCGGTTGGGCCAGACAGGGATGCTGTGGCGCAGCCAGATGCCGGAGGTGGCGCCGAAGTGCAGCAGGCCCTTGGCGTGCGCCCAGGGCAGGTAGTCCCTGCGGTGCGGAACGGCCGGGGTATGCGTGCAGTGAAAACTGAGCTGTCGGGCCAGCAGGCGGCGATGTCATGGGCAGCGATTAATGTTGAAGCGGCTATCCCCCAGCAAGGCTCACGTGTATTTATATCTGTAGTAGGGAGGCTGGTCTGAGTACATGGCAACCCCGGCGCCGTTGGCAGTCAGCTGGGCCAGCGTGCGCTGCAGGGCGCTGTCGGGCCTGCATGCGTGGCGGCGGCGGCGGCGAGGGGAACAAACCCCAAGTGAAACCATTGCACCGCCATGCACCGCTGCCCGTCCTGAGACCATCAAACTGCCCATCCTGAGACCATCAAACTGCAACAAGTAGATCCAAAGAATGCTTTGGAAGGCCTGGATCACTCACCTCACCTGTCAATGCTGCCAGCCTGCCAGCAGGTGCCGCCGCTGTCGCAGCCCGCCGCCGTGCTGGCGTCGACGTAAAGAGTCACGTTGCCGCGGACCCAGGGGCTGGCTCCGCAGTTTCCGGGCGTCTTGTAAAGCAGCCACCAATCCACAGGCTGCCCCGCGTCATTCAAACACACCGCCGAGCCGGCAGCGGAGGCAAGCGGCGGCGGGGTGGTGGCGGCCGCTGCCAGGCGAGCTGCGACGGCCGACTGAGCGGGCCGCATCGCGGCTGCTGCGTTCGCTAATCCAAGCAGGACGAGCGCGACCGCCGCCAACGCTGGAGGTGGAGGGTTTCGACCCAGCGGGAGCCCAGCATGGGCTGCCATCGCTGTTCGGGTCGCATGCCCCCAGGGGAGGGAGTAAGGGCATGCCAGAGGAAACGCACTGCGCCGCTGTTGGGATGGCGGTGGAAGAAAGTGGCGGTGGTGGCGGTCTGATGGTCTGCCGCCGCGTGCCGCCCTGGTGTCAGCCACTGGCTGCACGTGGTGTTGATTGTGCTGCGGGCTGTGCGGGCTTCATGTTTTTCGCGAGCTTTATCAGCTGCCAAGCGCAGCGTGGAAGGAAAGCGCACAGTACCACGGTGATTAAAGCGCTCGTCTGACCCCCCTGGATGCTTTTCTTCTCTCCTCATCCCTCAGTTCAGGTGCCACCGCAGTGCGCTGCTGCTCAAAATAGGTAAGACACTGGTGGGGTCCAAGGGCAGACCTGAGTTTCTTGGACATCCTTGGACATCCTTGGACTCACCCCCACCAACCTGCGCCTCAACTGCCCTCCACCGCCTCGCCCCCTCCTCCCCCATCTGCCCTCCCCACGTGCTTGCAGCACCGCCAAGATGAAGCCCGCCACCCTGCTCCTGGCGCTGTACGCCGCGCTCCTGCTGCTCGGGTGAGTGCTGGCCTCGACCACGTGCGCACCCGCACGCATGGCATCGCCCCCCTGCGGGCGGATGCCGTCAGCCGCACAGCCCCGGAACAGCCTCCCGCGTGTGTGCATATATGCGGTACCGTGCCGCCTACTCACCGATGACAATGCGTGGTATCCGGTAGTGTACCAGCCAGGCCAACCTCCTTCCCAGACAGCACCTGCCCAGCAGAGACCCTGCCACCTGAACCCCACCCCTGCCGCCACTCTGTTCTTGCAGGGCCATCCCGAAGACTGCTGGCGCCAGGGTGCTGACGGAGCAGCCCGAGAACCTGCCCAACACCGGCCCCTATGGATACACCCCCGGTGCGCCGCCAGCAGCGCACCTAGCGCCTGCCAACCGCCCGCGCGGCGTGCCGATGATCCAGCCAACACAGGCGGCATGCATGGTGTCAGCGCAGCCCACCTGCCTCCCCACCAGTGCCAGCTGCATTCGCCAACCACCACTACAGGTCCTGCTTCGTTCAAGGCGCCCTCCCAGTCGCAACGTGCTCTGCATTCCGCGCCGCCCTGCCTCGCCCTGCAGGCCAGAACTGCGGCTCCTTCTGCTCCTACAACAACGACTTTGGCTACGCCAACCACGCCGACTGCGTGCATGCCTGCGACTTCCCCACCACCTCCCAGCTGTGCGACTACCTGAGTGGCAAGGAGAAGGCCCAGTGCATCAAGGCGTGGAATGAGTACTACGCCCCCGGCCAGAACAGGGATCCCTGAGCCAGGACACTGCAGGGCGCCCGCTGGGGGAGGCCACACTGCCTGCGTCCTCCCTGCCGCTTCCTTTAGCGTGCATGCTTGCTGCTTGCTGAGAAGAAGACCAGCGCCGACTCCAAGAACGTGTATGCTCTCACTATGCTCTGTTACAGCATGCCTCAAGCCCTCTGGGTTCCTTTTGCGCATCGAATGACCTGTAAATTTCCCCTTGCACCAACAACTGCCACCGGTGACTGCGCGCCATGCAGCGCCAGACATGGAGTGCGGCCGCCGGCCTGAGGCGGCGCCGCCTCATGCGGCCGACAAACGTACCGTGTTCCCTCCAGCACATGTGCCCGTCCATACGGACGGAGGACAGTAGCGCCTGAGCACTGCAGATCATGATAGGGGGCCGGCGCAGGCATGTGTGAGAAAGAGTGCGGCGTTGTGAGTGCCACAACAGGGTACCCGTCCTGCCGCCGCGACCGCCGACTGTACTGCAGAGGATTGTGTTCGATCGTCTCGGAGCTGGGACTCACTTTTCGCTGTCCCCCACTTTGCAGCCATGGGTTTCGAGATCGACGAGAACGTGCTGCTGAAGGTGTCGGGCGTGGGGGCCATCGCCTACTGCGCGTTTGCGGCTGCTGCGCCCCGAGAGTTTCACAACACCTTCATGACCTCGGTGTGTGAGTTTGCGGGGGCGGGATCGCGACGCGCTCGCTCCGGAGTCAGCATCATCAGAAGTAGGGTTCATTCAGGCCGCGAGCTTGCCAGCACACCTGGGGCGACAGCAATGGAGTAGCAAGCGCAGCGTGGGTGGCGGAGGGAGAAGCGCCGTCCTGCTGCCGATCAATGCCCACCGCCCCGCCGCCGCCACACCGCCGCCGCACTGCAGATTTTTCTTTGCATTTTCTTGCTGCAGACGGCGCCCCTGTCTGCCGCCGCGTGGCGCTACCATGGCACTGTGGGCATGATGGTCGGGGCCGACCACCTGATCCTGTCCGCCAAGGATGGCCTGCAGGCGAGGCGTTGACCAGCTGGCGTAGCAGCCACGCTCCTCCGACCCTTCAGCGCCCCGTCGGCCCCTGAGCCCCTCGCAGGCTGCTGAAGCACTCTGCCTGCTTGCAGGAGACCAAGAAGGACATGCTGAAGGTGGCCGGCGTCGGCTGGCTGGCCTGCGCGGCACAGAACGCCTACAACGGCTACTCCAAGGCGAGCCTGCAGGCAGTGATCGCCGGACGTGATCTGCATGCAGTGGGTGGTGTGCATGCGTGTTGTGTGCATGCGTGGGCGCGAGGAGCGGTGCCGCGCTGCCGTGGCGCAGCGCCCGCCACCCCGCCCCGCCCAGCTCTCCTGCCTGCTTTCCGCGCAGAACCCCACCCAGCCCAAGGAGATTGCCACGGCCAACGCCATTGGGCAGGCGGTGCTGGGCTCCCTGTGCCTGATGAAGGGCTTCGACTGCTGCTGACAGCTCGGCGGTGGCTGATGCTGGGCAGCGCAAGTGAGCTGCTGAAGCGGTTGATGAGGTGGTCGCGCCGCCCGTCATACAGAATTTGTTGAGAGTTCCATTCCCCCAGATGAATGCAACCGTGCGAGCAGATGCATGCCTATCAGCTGTACTACTGTTGATGGATTTTGTGGGGTCTGTCTAGCCCCCATACGCGCCAGCCGACATTTTGTGAGCGGACACCCGATTTTGAGTTTCCGTTTTCCTCCCCATCCCGTCGACTTTTGTGCACCAGTCACATTTTGGCATGTAATGCTAACTGCTCAGTCCTCAGGCCCCGAGAGGGGATCCTCCGGAGGCTCCTGCATCAGATTGGGGCGAGAGCTGGAAACAGGTTGGTGGGCGAGCAACGTGGCGGCTCAGGGAGGAAGCTGCAGAATGAATGAGGGCACATGGTCCAGAAGAGCAAAGAGCGCAGATGTGGCTGGCAAACTTCCTGCCGCACGTGCTGACGAGGCCAGCTGTACTGCAGGACTGCGACATATCGTTCTCGGAGCTCGTTTTTCCTTGTTATCCCCTTTTTGTCACTCCTCCGTCCTGCCTTTGCAGCCATGGGTTTCGAGATCGACGAGGACGTGCTGCTGAAGGTGTCGGGCGTGGGGGCCATCGCCTACTGCGCCTATGCGGCTGCTGCGCCTCGGGAGTTCCACAAAACCTTCATGACAGCGGTGCGCTACGATCGAAACTAGGGTTCATGCAGGCTGCCTCCACCCGCCGCCACCGGCCGCCCCGCCGCCCCGCCGCCGCCGCCACCACACCGTTTTCTTTTTTTCCCTTGCCGCCGCAGACAACGCCGCTGTCCGAGGCCAACATTAGATATCATGGAACGGCTGGAATCATGGTTGGGGCTGACCACCTGCTGCTGTCGTCCAAGGATGGCCTGCAGGCAAGGCGCCTGGTGGTGAGGTTTCCCAGGGTCGGGACCCGCTAATCTTCCGCAGCCGGGGCTACCGCTCCACTGCTGTGTGGTAGACACAGCCCTTTCCTGCCCCCTAGCAGCCAGGGGCTGCCTCCACCTGCTGCTGCTGTGCAACTGCCTGCGGCTGGTGCTGCAATTGTGGTCACCGCTGTGCACCGACTGCCCTCCCCGCAGGAGACCAAGAAGGACATGCTCAAGATTGCCGGCTGCGGCTGGCTGGCCTGCGCCGCCCAGAACGCCTACAATGCATACTCCCAGGCGAGGCAGGGGTGTGCATGCAGGGCCGCAGGGGTGCGCGTCCATGTGTGCCCAGTCCCGCCCCAGTGCCGCGGCGCAGCGATGGAGGCTGACCCTCCACGTGGCTGCCTGCATGCCTGCATGCCTGCCCACCCCCCTGCTGCCGCAGAACCCCACCCAGCACAAGGACATTGGCACCGCCAACGCAGTCGGCATGGCGGTGCTGGGCTCGCTGTGCCTGATGAAGGGCTTTGACTGCTGCTGAGGAGCACGGCGCTCTGCGCAGCCGCGGGTTGAGAGGCAGAGGGATGAACCATGAAGAGCGGAAGCAACCAAGCCGTCAGCAAATGCTTCAGATGTATCCCGATCAGTCAACACCCCCAGCGGACATTTCAAGCTCCTAATTTGCGGCCTATCCCATAGCATTTGTGCCCGTGCATTTTGACATGTAAATATACCCCCCGCTTGCTTGACCTCCAGCCGGGCGGCACTTCCCACTGAGCAAATTCAGCTTCCCACTGAGCAAATTCAGCTGGCCCCATCTGCAGCCGGCTCCTGCCCAGCTCTCAGCAGCCAACAGCAGCAGTTACACGGCAATAGGTTGCAATCCAATGAAAAAGCGGGGCATTAATCAGAGCTCGATAAAGAGGAGGAAAAGTGGCGGTACGACAGCGCGCCGCAGCCGCTGCAAGGTGGCGAGGGCAGTCGGTGCGGGGTTGGGTGTGGTTCAAGGCGCGGCGACTGCTGCGGCGGTGGGCAGATACAGTGTGCGGCAGGGCGGCGGCGCGAGGCAAGGTGGTAATGCCGGGTGGCAAAAGGGGGTCACGGGATCGGGCGCGGGCGGGGGCCAGGGGCGGCTCCCGGGCCCGGCTTGCGCCCTCACAAGTTGGCTGGGTAAGGGACAAGACTCCAGTGCTGAAGAGGGACGGTTGTTGAGCACACGCGACACAGGCACAGACACACACAGGTTGCTTTGTTGTTCGCTCGACGCCGCCGGGGCCGGGCTTCGCTGGGGCTGAAGCGCTTTACTGGTCGCCATTCTGCTTCTGGTCTGCAGCACAGGGTGGCGGCAGGAAACACGCCTGCTCAGGACAGGGGCAGGGGCGTGCATGTGCGGGCCGCTGCCTGCCTGCCACCTGCCTTTGCCACCCCCTCCACCTCTTCCCTCACCTCCCCTTCCCAGCCACCAGCCCGCATTCTCCTCCCCTCGCACCACCGACAGCCCCTCCCCCTCAACCACCCCGCACGCAACCTCCTCCCCTCCCCGACCTCCCCAGCCAGCCAGCTGCCGCCACCCACCCGCAATCTCCTCCAGGTCCACGTAGTCGCGCTTGTGCGGCGGCAGCCCCGCCTGCTCCTTCCAGTAGTCCACCTGCCGCTTGAGGCGCAGCACGTCGGCGCTGTTCTCGTTCTTGGACACATCGTTGCGGATGGTGGACACGCGCTGGGCGTACTGCAGCGCCGGGCAAGGGGCGGGACGGGCAGCGGGGGACCGCAGAGAAGGTTGTCAGGGCTTTGCGAGCAGCAGGCAGGAGGTCGACCGAGCGCCAGGCCAGCCGGCCACGCTGCCTCTGCTTCTCCACCGCCGCTGCTCTCCGCTGCGCATCCGACCTGGACCCACCCGTCCCGCCCAACCACACAGCCAGCCTGCACAGCCGCCGAGCCACCCCGCCGCACCTGCAGCGAGTTCTGGGTCTCGTCCAGGTTGGCATCAACGGGGGACACGTTGACAAACATGAGGGTCTTGGCGGTACCGCCGATGGAGTCGGACATGAGCATGGTGAGCTTGTGGTCGCGGTACGGCACGTGGCCCTGCGGTACCGCCAGGAGGGCACACACACCGGCTCGTGTTGGGGCGAGGGGCAGGCGCAGGGCTCGCGTGGCGCAGCACACTGTGCAGGGTCAGGCCTGCCGTGGCGTGTGCACTCCCTGCACCCTCTGCCAGCTCCCCACAGCTCCTTGCGACTGCCCAGCCAGCCGCGGCGGTGCCCACCTGCTCGGTGGCGAGGGCGGAGATGACGTTGCCCAGGGCAGACAGCGACTTGTTGATGGCCTGGGCCTCCTTGAGCTGCTCGCCCACCGACCCAGACTTCTTCACGCTGCGGGGAGGCAGGGGCAGGCAGGGGTGGGTGGGCAATTCTGGTTGCCGAGTGTGTGTGTGGCGGAGGAGGGGCAGGCGTGGCTTCAGCTCCCCAGCGGGCGGCTCCAGCGCCTCCTCGCACGCGTGTGCTGTCCTGCCACGCCTGCCGCAGCCTGGCACCCCGCCATGCACCAGCCTCACCGCTCGGAGCCGGCCAGGTCGACAAACGACAGCTTGCCGCGCGCCACGTTCTGGGTCTGCAGGTTGGTGGACTCGATGCAGATGGTGATGATGAGGTGGGAGCGGGAGGACTCGCGGTTCATCTGCGGGCGCACGGGCAGGCAGGAGGGACAGGCAGGAGGCGGGGTTGAGCAGGAGTTTGGCAAGGCAAGGGCGTTGAGGCAGGGCGCAGCGGTGTGGCACGAGAGCGACAGCCAGCACCGCGGCTGCCAAGGACCGCCGCGCCGCCGCCCGGCAGAGGCCCGCCCCGCCATGCAGGCGCAGGGGCACCGGGCCGGCAGCATGCTGCCACCAGCCGCGCGCAGCCCGCAGCCACGCACCTGCGTGGAGGAGACGCGGCGGCGCGCCAGGCCCGCCTCAATCACATCCATGAGCTCCCGCGGGCTGCTGATGTTGTCCACGATGGTGGCCCCCGGCACCGTCACCACGCCCTTGGGGTCCTTCTTGATCTCCAGCCTGGGCTGCTTGTACTGCAGGCAGGACGGGCAGGCGGGACGGGAGGGCCAGAGGACATGCGTCAGCCAGATGGCCGCAGGATGGGCCCGCGGCGAGGCCTCCACCCGGGCACTTGCAGCCGCTCACCAAGCGCAGGCAGCCCCATGCCTGAGCCACGCCATCCCCACATGCCCCCGCCGCCAGTCCCTACCACGCAGCCAACCACACGCACGCACGCCTTCACCACCACGCAGCACACATCCCCGCAGCCAGCACCACAGCCAGCCCGCAGCCCCGCCCACCAGCTTGTCGCCCTTCTTGTGCTCCGCCAGCAGGTCAGTCAGGTCGTCGCAGTAGAGCTCCAGCATGAAGCAGGAGATGCGGAAGGAGGCCTTGCCCGAGTCGCGGTCCATGACGGCGTACAGCTCGGTCACGCCACGCGGCGTCAGGCCAGGCAGCTTCTCGTTGCCGTAGATGGTGAAGGTCTTGCCGGACCCGGTCTGGCCGTCTGTGGCGGGCAAGGATGTGGAAAGGAGGGAGGGGGCGGGGTGGGAGGTGGTGAGCCCCTCGCTTGCAGCAAGCCCGCTGCACCCATGTCCTGCATGTCGATTCCATTCAACGCGATGCGTGCGCAGCACGTCAGGGCCCCAGCACATCAGGGCCCCAGCACATCAGGGCCCCAGCCGCCACTCACAGGCGAAGATGCAGACGTTGTAGCCGTCCACCGCCGACTGGATGAGGTGCTTGGTGTCCTCAAACACCTTGTCCTGGTGCGTGGTGGCGCCAAACACAGAGTCGAAGCTCCACTCCTTCTTGGTGCCCTTCCAGTTGAGGCCGATGGTGAGCTCGTCGGGGATCATCACCGCCTCTGCGGGGGCAGGCGGGGAGGGCAGGGATGAGTGAGGGGAAAGCTGGAGAGGCGAGGCCAGGGAAGGACGCACACATACGACGGGGCTGCACGGCCGCGACGGCACAGCAGCAGGCAGGCACGCGGCGCAACACAGCGGACACGCGGCAAGCCATGCCAGCCCGCGGCGGCGGCGGCAGCGGCGGGACCCACCTGTCTGCCCGCGGTCCTTCTCCATCTGCAGGATGGGGCGCACGCGGCAGTAGACCCGGATCTTGCCCTTCATGTCCTCCATCTGGTTGAAGATCTTCTTGCGCATGATGGCCTCGTCGCGGTACAGCGCATCCAGCTCCTCCAGCCGCTTGGCCTGCGAGGGGGGGAGGCGCGGGGCGAGAGTTAGAGATCGGAGGTGCGGTGAGATCGGAGGCAGGAGAGCGACTGCGCAGGGGCAGGGAGCATGCGGCTGCGCTGCCTGCACAGCCTGGGCACAGCCCGCCAGCCACCAGCCCTTCTGTCCTGTTCCCCCAGGCAGCCAAGCCACCACCCAGCCTGCTCCAGCCCCAGCCGCTCACCTGCTGGGAGATGACCTCCGCCTGCGCCTTCTCCCGCCGCTCCACGTCCTCCTTCATCTCGCGCAGCTCCTGCAGCTCCTTGCGCGCGCCCTTGGTCTGCGGGCAGGCAGGCAGGCAGGCACGGGCGGGGGCGGCAAGGTCAGGCAGGGAGACGGTGCAGGGGGGAGGCGCCGGGCCAAATGCACGCGGTCCCAGCCAGCCAGCCGACGAGCCGGCTGCATCACAGCCTCCCGCCGCGCCACACACATGGGCCCCGCTATCAGACCAGCACCGCACAACCAGCGGTCCACCTCCACCTCCACCTCCGCCGCCGCCATACCCCACCCCCGCGCACCGACTCCAGCTCCTGCTTCGCCTCCGACAGCAGCAGCTCCTTGTTGCCCAGCTCCTCAATCAGCTCGTTGATCTTGGCCTCCTTCTCGCGCACAGCCTCCAGCGCCACCACCGCGCCGCCGGCCGCAGCCGCGCCGCCGGCCTGCAGGGAGGGCGAGGGCAGGGCAGGGCACAGTCGGGGAGAGGGAGGCAGCAGGCCAAAGCGTGACACCCACCCCTAACGTTGCAGCAGCTACCTTGCCCCACCACCAACCATGGCTGGCCCAGCGCGCTCCCCTGCCGGTGCACTTGCTGCTGCGAGCAGCAGCAGGCCCTACACTCTCCCACATGCTGCCTCCGCAAGCTGCCTCCACACCGGTGCCCCCCCACGCTCTCCCACATGCACCCCCCACGCCGCTCACCGCACGGAACGCCTCCATCTCCTGCCTGTGCGCCGCCTCCAGCCGCGCCAGCTTGCTCTCCATGGCAGACTTTTCGGCCAGCACCGCGCTGATGCGCTGCTCAATCGCCTTCATCGCCTTTTCGTCGCCGCCGGCTGCGCCGCTCAGGTCCAGGGCTGCGCCAGCAAGCGAGGCGGGAGGGACGGGCAGGCAGGCGGCGTGGGTGGGTGAGCAGAGTGGGTGCAGAGTTAATGCCTGCCGTGGACCCGCACGCACTGCTGTGGAGCCCACGCAGCCCACAGCCAGCGACACCAGCAGCTGCACCAGGCCGCAGGCAGGTGCCAGGCTGGATCCCACAGGTGCCTTCACGGCCGGCCCCGCACCGCTCGCACCTGCCAGCTCGGCGGCGGCCGCGCCCGCTGCCACGCCCGCGCCGCCCATGCCCTTGAGCACGCTGAGCTCGTCGGCCATGGCCTGCCGCTCCTCCGCCAGCTCAGCCAGGTGCTGGTCCTTGGCGTCCAGCATGGCGCGCGCCTCATCCAGCTGGCGCTGCAGCTCGCCCACGTGCGCCTGGTACTTGGGCCCAAAGTCGCCGCCGCCGGGGGCTGCCGCACAGGGGAGGGCAGGCGGGCAGGCAGGTCAGCAGGAGAGGCTGGGCAGCGCGCTGCATGGGAGGTGTATCACACGCTTCCCCGGCAGCAAAAAGGCGCCGCAGCATCCCCTCACAAACCAGCCAGCCATCTCCCGCCGCTGCCCCTCCTCTCCCCGGCCAGGCAGCACGCTGTGCCCTCGGCCGCCACAGGCAGGCAGGCGCCCACCGGTGGAGATGTCGGCGCCGCCGTCCTGCGCGGCCTTGGCCTTGGAGTAGCGCTTCATCATGATGTCGTTGATGTGGGTCTGCAGGGCCATGCAGATGTCCTCCCCCTGCTTGGTCTCAAACTGGAAGATGTGCAGCACGCCCGCCACTCGCATCTTGAAGAACACGGCCTGCGGGGAGGGGAGGGCGAGGGAGAGGCAGGAGAGAGGCGGAGCAGGCCGGGTCAGCATCGCTTGGCGCGGCAGCAGCGAGCTGGCTTGCCCACCACTCGCCCTCGCCGCTCCTCCCCAGCACCGGGTGACCTTCTCCACGCCAGCACCCCAACCGCGCATACACCGATCACCAGCCTCGCCCACACAGCCAACCTCGGATCCACTACGACACATCCACCCACCCACCCATCCACCCTCCTGCGCAGCCAGCCAGCCAGGCAGGCAGCCCACCTGGGAGGAGGAGCCGAACTGCATGATGTCGCGCAGCTCCGCCGAGTGCAGGTATTCCTTGGGGACGGGGCGGAAGAAGTGCACGCCGCGCTTGTTGATGCCCAGGATGAGCTTGGGAGGCAGCAGGCCGATGGGGTCCTCGATGCGCTGCGGGCAAAACAGCAGGAGGGGGTATGAGGTGAGGGGGTACGAGCCAGCAGCAGTCCAAGCTGCCACACATTGCCGGACGCCTCAGCCGCTTTCCCGACATGGGTCGCGACTCTCGAGCCCATGCCCTTCCGCCGTGTAAACCAAGCCCTGGACGCCCACTCGTCACTCCCACACACACAGGGGCCACCAGCAGCAGCACCCCCGCCACCCCACCTTGACCGTGAAGAAGATGGAGTTGCCGTAGGGCAGGGAGCGGATGATGCGCAGGTACTGGATGCGGGCGTCGTCCTTGGAGAACTGTGACAGGGCGCGGTAGCGGGACGACACGTCGGCCATCCACTCCTGGCGCGGGCGGCTGGTCAGGATCTGCGGGGCCAGGGGGTGGAGGCAGGCAGGCTGCTGGGCAGGGAGGGAGGGCCAGGGGCCGAGCCTGCCGCTCCCGGCAGCCCAGGCAGCGCCAACCGCCTGGTCCGGTGCCTGCGATGCGGCTGACACGATGCCCTGCTGCACAGCATGCTGTGCAACACAGGTGGTACGACATGACTGTACCGCTGTACCGCCTCACCTGCTTCACCATGTACTTCTTCAACGCCCCCTCCAAACAAGGCCTTGTCCGAGACAGGGGGGGGGCCGGGTTCCGCTGGCTTTGGCAGGGCGCACTTTTGCGCCGCACCCTCGCGATCCACCGGGTACTGGCCCTGCAGGCGGGGAACGCAGTACGGGGTGAGCAAGGCTCAGCACAGCAGTTGGAAACAACAACACAAGAACGGGTGGGGAGCAGGCAGCCGGTGGGCTGCACCCTGCCCCGCCACTCTTCCGCCGCTTTTTTCTGAAAGGTTCATCCCAGCCCCAAGGGCCACGTCTGGCGACCGCTTCAACACACCTGCAGGTAGTCGTGCTGCGCCTGGATGTAGGAGAGGTTGACAAACTGCGGCTCCGTCACCGTCTCGTCCGTCTCCCGGAACATGCGCTTCTTGAACAGCAGCTTGGAGGTGGAGCCCTCCTTGGCCTTCTGCTGCTTGAAGTCGTACCTGCGGGCGGAGGACCAGGCAGGAGCCAGGAGCGGGGCGCGGTGAGGCAGCAGCCGGCAGCAGCGGCAAGCTCGCCCGGAGCCAACGCTGAGCGCCATCAGGCCACAGCGCCGCAGGCACTGGCCCACTCAGGCTGCCAGGTAAGGCTCTGCCAGCCTGCTCACATGATGTCGGCGATGAAGCGGTTGTCGTCCATGAGCACATGCTCATCCGTCACCGGCATGCCTGGCTCCAGGGCCTTGCCCTGCAGGTGGGCGAGGGGCGAGCGCGCAGGCGCTGGGGGAAGTCAGGACCTGAGCCTGCGTGCCCAGCCCAGCCTGAGGAGCCGCCCAGCTGCTCCCTGCGCCAACACGCTGCGCTGCCCCGTCCCAAATGCTCGCGCTGCCACCTGAAGCATCCCCGGGCAGCGCCACCAGGCGTCTGGGCGCACCTTCTGCACGGCGAACAGCGAGAAGGTCTGGTAGTTCTCCAGCTTGATCTGCCCCGCCAGCTGCTCCACGGCTTCCATGACGGTGGTGCTGGCGTCGTACGACAGCTCCTCAAACGTCTCGTCCAGGAAGTAGACCACCGCATTCTGCTTGGCGCCCTTGAACAGCGCATCGATCTCCTGCATGTCGGGCAGCGTGCGGCGCTGCCCCGCCTTGGCCGTGCGCTTCATGGCCTGCCACGTCTTGGTAGCGAGGTCGCGGACCTCGGGCAGCTCCTCGGCGTCGTGCGCGCACGTGTGCACGTACTCTGCGCGGGGGCAAGGGGCGGCGAGCAGGTGGTGGGCAGGGCAGGCACGCAATGGGGTGTGAGCGGTGGCATGTGGCGCTGCTGCGACACCGCATGTTGTCCGGGGCGGGCCAGCGGAAAGGGCTGCCCTGGCTGAGCTGGCTGGGGGGAACAGCCGCCTGCATCGTACCGCCACCAACTGCTGCCAAACCTGTGGTGCTGCTGCCACACTGCTCAGCAGGCGGCTGCCCCACCCCTCGCCAGGCATCACGCCACAGCCAGCACGCAGCAGCAGCCCAAGCGCACCCGACACCAGGCCCATGAAGTCCTTGGAGGGCGGCATGGTGGCGGCGGTGAGGTAGAAGAGCTGCCAGGCCTTGGTGCGGGCGGCGGGGTTGGGGTTGCCGCGCGTCTGCTTCACCAGCTGCATGTACAGCTCGTCCCGCAGCTCCACGCGCTTCAGGCCCTGGTGCAGCAGCTTCTGGGCCAGCTCCAGCGCCGCCATCGCGCCCAGCATCTCGCCGTGCACCCCCATGTACTGCAGCACCGACTGGAACATCTTCACCGCCCGCCCCTGGTTGTCGGGGTTGTGCTTCAGCAGGCTCACGGGCAGGCTGTCCTCCGAGAAGAGCAGCAGATCGTCCAGCTGCAGGTTCTCGGGCGTGCCGGGCGTGTCGGCGGGCTTGGGGCTGCGCCCAAAGCTGAGGAAGCGGCCCATCTTGGGGCCGCCGCTCTGCCGCGCCCGGTTGAACGCCTCCAGCTGCGGGGAAAAAAGGGAGGTGGAGCCGTGGAGGTTGACAGGAGGGCGGTGCTGCGCTGCGCTGCGCTGCAGGAGGCAGCAAAGGAGCGAGGCGCGGCGTGTGCCCGCTTGCGTGCCAACCGCCCTCCCCGCCGCTCCCTACCTGGAACTTCTCAGAGTGGCTATCCAGGCCCTCCAGCACGGGGCTGCGCATGTCGCTGAACCCAGACATTTTCTGCAGCGGACAGGCGGGCAGAAGGCATATAGCATGAGCGCCGGGTCCCTGAACAGTGAGGCTCAAAATACACGCACGTGACCATGGTTTGGGCCCACGCCCAGCTGCTCACCGATCCGGGGGTGGTGGGGTCTCTGTGACCGAAGCCCTGCATACAGACAACAGCACAGGCGGCATCGTTGGGGATGCACGCGGCAGCGAGCCACACGCAGCAGCGACAAGGGCGCAGGCGGTTGTGGCCTGGCGGCGGGTGCCGCCGTCCGGCGCAATGGCGCCGCCAGATCCCCAGCCCAGCCCCGCCTCCTCACGTTCTCTCCAGAATGTTCCATCTCCACCGTCATTCTACAACGGCGGCCTGCGGCAGCAAGGGGCGGGGACACAGATTGGCAAGAGGGCACACCGGCCGCGTGGACCCGCAGCCTCGCTGCAGGGCGGCAAGGCTGGCGCCATCCCGTCCATCCGGCGCTGACCAACGCCTGGCCGCGGCCCCGGGGTGTCGAGGCGCGAGGGGGAGCTGAGGCAACCACCCTGCTGCACGATTTGCGCGCCAAAACACGGGAGATCTGTGGAAGGCGGCCTGCCTCACCGCCGCAGAGAGTGTTTGGCGCGTCCCCTAGCGCGCTGGGCCACCCGCTTGCCGGGAGGGGTGGTTCACAGCAAAAGCTGTTCGGCGAAGCAGGCTGCAGAAGGAGATGCAAGGGACAGTGCGGCAGCTTCTGCCCCAATCGAGGAATGCGGCTGGGGGCCGCAAGGCGATGGGTAGCCTCGACCCAAACATGTACAGCCACCGCCTGCATGTACAGCCACCGCCAGTGAACTGCCAATTCAGCGCGGTTTCGCAGGCCGAACGCCACTTGCAGCGATCCGGTCGTCTTTCCGAACTCGTGGGGTGCCGCAGATCGCCCACGTCGCTCGGTCAACCCTCCCGCCAGTGATTGCTCGGGGCGGGTTCTCCGCCTCGTGCAGCCTGAAAGCCACCAGCAGCGGCAGTACCTGCCAATGCACGACACTAGCAGCGCCCCAGGTGCCACCCCCAAGCCCTTCCTGCGCCGTGGCAGCGGGTGGGAGACGCGGGTGGCGGCGGCACGCGAGGGCCGCCGCTACGTGCCGCGGGGTGGGCCCATCAAGGACTACAGCCAGGAGGACGAGGTGGCACTGCCGCGGCGCCGTCGGGCAGCCACGGCCAGCAAAATCCCCCGCTCGCCCGCCAAGCCGGCCACAAGCACCAAGGCAGGTGCAGGCGGCCTGGGCGGCCTGGGCGGTCGTAGCCAGGGCTCCGCCGCCGGCGCAGTTCCGTCTCCATCCAGCAAGCAGCAGGGCCGCACTCCGCAGCCCGCTGCACGAGCTGCACGCCCCCTGGCGGCAGCGCATCTGCGGCAGCCAGCCGCCCCGCAGGCGGCGCCGGCAGCAGCCAGCAGCAACGCCTGGGCACGCAAGCTGCTAGGGGGCGGTGGCCGCCAGGCAGCCCCCCACCAGGCCCAGGGTGGGCATCTGATGAATGAGGTGCGAGCCTGCTGCTGCTGCACTGTGTCCCTGCATACCTGCTTGTCTGTCAAGCTGGCTGTAGCGGTCAGCAGCAAGTGCCCTTGTGTGAGTGTGGGTGCAGGACAAGGACCTTGAGGAGTTTGAGGCGCTGGAGAGCCAGGTGCTTCGTGAAGTCAGCAACTCGCCGCTGTCCCACAGCATCTCGCCCGCCAGCGGCCACAAGAAGGCGCGCCTGAGCGGCGGCGGCGGCGGCGGCGGCGAGATGGCTGGCTTCTACGCTTCAGCGGCAGCAAGGGGCCAAGGGCAGGAGGCAGGGGCCCTCAATGAGGAAGAGGAGGGGCAGGAGGAGGAGGACGTGTTTCAGAGTGATGGCGAGGGCCACGTGCACGGAACCTTTGCACAAGGCAGTACTGCGCAAATGGCGGCAGCCGGCATCAGCCACCCCTCGGCCCGCCGCGCCATGAGCTTTAATGGGGCGGCGCTGGCAGCTGGGCGGGCACCGGGGATACCTGCCGCAGGATTGGAGGATGAGGGTGAGGTGGAGATGGTCGTCGAGGTGAGGGGGTGGAGCGGCCAGCAGGTGCACTGCTCACAGCGCATCATTTTGCAACCTTCCAAGCGTCACAGATGGGCTTGCACCAGGCCGTCGCGCTGGCGGGCTGAGTCTGGTTGGCCGCACGGGTGCTTCTGCCCTGCTGCAGTCCTCCTTTGTCCAAGACATCCGGCTGCCGCCCGCATCCGGCATGCCGCAGCGGCCCTTCAGGCCGCCGCCGCCCTTGGCAGCTGCCGTCACGAGCCCCAGTGCCTCAGCCGCGCCATCCCACCGCCCGCCGCCACCCCGCGGCGAGGCGCAGCAGATGTGGCCAGGCGACGGTGCTGGCGGCACAGCGGCGGCGGCGTTGGCGGGGCAGGGCGGGGAGCAGGAGGCGGTGGAGCAGCTGCAGCAGGAGGTGGTGCGCCTGCAGGAGGAGCGGGCGCGGGTGGCCCGCCTGAGGCTGGATCTGGAGGAGGCGGCAGCTCGCCTGGACCAGGAGCGGGCGGCCTTCGAGAAGCGCAAGGTAGGCCGCCCCCAAGGAGGGTGCTGGGTGGGCTGGCTGCCTGCCCGCCGCCGGCCACCTCATGCCCGCATGGTTGAGGTGTTGAGGGCAAGCGGAGGCGCACCTACCTAGGGTATCACTGGCTGCTGCCCTGGCGGAGGTGTCCACTCAAACAGTTGTAAGTGAGTCCCCCTTGCTGACTTTCATGGCTGTGCTGGTGGCCTGCTGCCGCCCGGCTGGCGCCAGGTGGACGAGGCGGCGCGCTTCGAGGCAGAGCGCGGCGAGGAGCTGCGCAAGCTGCAGCGCGACCGGCGCGTGCTGGAGAAGCAGAGCCGCGCCATCCTCAAGATGCCCACCAAGCAGTCCAAGGAGGAGGTGGCGGCGGTGGAGGTGCGGTGGCAGCTGCCACCTGTTGCCAACCCACATCCGGAAGCCCATCACCGCTGCCGACAGCACCTCTGCCTGCCAGGCAGGCTCGCGCCGCCTCCTCTGGCTGCGGATCAGCCATGTCGCCCCACATTGCCTGCCTCACTGCCGCGCCTCGCCGCTCTCTGCCTGCCGCAGGCGCTGCTGGCCGAAGAGCGGCGCAGCGGGCGTGCTCGCGAGGCTCGCCACAAGCTGACGGTCGAGCGCCTTCGCCAGCAGCTGGTGGAGCTGCAGGACAAGAACGGGGAGCTGCGGGAGCAGGTGCAGTACCTGGAGCGCCAGCAGCTTCAGCAGTCTTGGGGCGGTACCGCTGGCGATGCCGACGCAGGAGGGCCGCGGGCCGCGGATCGCAGCTCGACATCTGCTGCTGCCAGCTACGGTGGTGCTGCTGTCACTGCGGTCAGCCCTGCGGCTGCCGGCAGGCCTGCTGCTGCCCCAGCCGGCTGCTCTGGGCAGCCGGGAGCAGCCGGCAGGGCGCAGAGGGGCCGGGGCCAGCTTCCTGTTGTCAGAGTGGAGCGTGGCTGCACGCCCGTCGCTCCTGCGGGGCCTCCCACCGCCAGCGCCATGATGGCTGGCGCTGCTGGAGGCTTTGCCGGCAGCAGGCACCTGCAGACGCATGGACCTGCTGGCCAGGTGGAGACCCATGGGCAGGTGCAGTGGGGGGCCGGCGGCGAGGGAGAGGAGGAGGGTCAGGAGGAGGAGGAGGACGGTCAGTACATAGCGGATGTGCAGCTGAGTGAGGAGGAGGTGATAGTGTACGAGGCCGAGCAGGAGCAGGGGCAGGGGCAGGGGCAAGCGGCTGAGACTCATTCCCAGCTGGCTGGGGCGGCCGCCGTCATGACCAAAGCCAGCTCAGCTGTAGCCCGCTTCAACCAGCTGCGCGACTCGCTGGCTCAGCAGGAGGGCCTGCAGAGCCGGCTGGGCAGCAGGCTGGCCAGCCTGCAGGCCTCCCCACACCTTGCCGCCACGAGGTTGGCAGCTGACAGCAAGCCCGGCGTCAGCCCTGCACTGAGCGCCACCTCTGCTGCGGCTGACGGCCATGCTGGTACTGGCAGCTTCCAGGCAGCTGGCCATGCAAGCGGAGAGGACGACCTGAGGCGCCTGGGCCGCACCCTGCTGGCTGCTGCCGCCAGCCACCCGCAGCCCGCCGGCCCTGCTGACCCTCCGGCGGCCCAGCAGGCGGCAGCCCCTGTGCATCTCAGCGCCCCGCCTGGCGCCGCCGCACCAGCACCCGGCTCCGCCGGCGATGCAGTGGTGTCCGAGTCGCAGCACCCCGACGGCCGATGCGAACGCCTGTACGCCTCTGGCCTGCGCGAGCAGCGCTTTGCCAACGGCAGCACGCGGCTCACGGTGCCGGGGGCCGCCTGCCTCACTCGCTTTGCCAACGGCGACGTGAAAAAGGTGCTGCCATGCGGTACCGTGGAGTATTGGTATGCAGAGGTATCCAGCTGGCAGGTCACGCACCCCTCAGGCGTGGACGTCTTCTACTTTGCGTCCGGCCAGGTGGGTGGAGGAGCAGGGCTGCTGCTGGGCTGATCACGTGCCTGGCTCATGCGCGGCCCTTGCAGCCACACGTTTCTGTGCTGCATTTGGTGCACGCAAGCGGGGACGGCCTGCCTGCTGAGCCAGCCGAATGCTGCGGCCGCACATCTGTCATGTGGGGCAAGACATCCCAGCAGAGTGCCCGCCCGCCTCCCTCCCCCGCCTGCCCGCCTGCCTGCCTGCAGGTGGAGGCGCACCACCCGGGAGGCATCAAGGAGATCCTGCTGCCCGACGGCTCGGTGCGCAAAGCCCTGCCCGACGGCAGGGAGCTGGCCATCAGCGCAGCTCACCTCAGTGCCGAAATCCAGCGGCAGCAGCCCACGGCGGAGCTTAGCTAAGGGGGGTGGCGGGGGCTGGCGAGGGCTAACAGCCCTGAAGGCCACTGAGGAATGGGGATACATGGCTGCTGGCGACTTTCTGTGGAGTGAACTGCCTTGGTATGTTTAACATGTTACATCATGTGTCCACATCAATGAAATCAATGAAAGGTTCTTCAGCCAACCTACTCAAACAACAGCAGGAGAAAGGAATGGCGACGGGCAGCGGCGGTGCAGGTCAGAAAGCATCAGCTGGGGTATCCGTGATGATATACTGGGCTAGTAAAGAAACACACATGTAGGATAGAGTTGAATCGGCATGTTGGTTTTGAGGCGTCCACGACAGCCAGTACCGCTGTACCGCCTTAGGGAGAGTACTCGCCAACCACGCGGTTGCGGGCGTGGGGCCGCGTGCCGGAGAAGAAGCGAGGGATGGTCTTGGAGCACCAAGACCACACCGCAAATGCCACCACCGCCACCGCCGCGCAGCCGCCCGCCAGGTGCACCAGCCCTTGCCCCTGCTGCACCGCCTCGGCGGCCGCCGACAGCAGCGCCTGCGGGCTGCCGGCCGCCAGCGGCGCGGCAAGCTGGATCATGAGCGCCATGGCCGCCATGGCCGCGGCAGACACGCCCACCGCCGCCGACACGGCGCGCGCCAGCCGCACGTTGCGCAGCGCGGGCTGGCACACGGAGCAGCGCTTGGTGTGGGAGTGGTAGTGGTCGAGCAGCTGCTCGTCGCTGAGGCGAGGCCCCGCCCGGCGCAGCCAGTCGGCGTTCATCGGCCCAAAGGGGCCGCCGCCGGCCACGCTCTTCATCCAGTTCCTGCGGTGAGCGGCAGGTTGGAGGGCAGGTCCGGGTGAGCGCCGGTGGTAGCGGGCAGGCGGCGGCGCTGGGGCGTTCCCTGGGGACAAGCGAAACAGACAGGGAGCAGCGGCCGCTCTCCCACCTCCACCCCACAACCCTCCACCTGGACTCCCAACCAAGCAAACAGCCAGCCAGCAAGCAAGGCAGCCAACGGCCCAGCACCAGGCGGGCCCCCACCTGAAGGCGGACACGTAGGCGTCGCTGGCGGCAGGCATGTAGTACACTTGTCCCGCCGGCTTCTCCCCCATGCCCCGCCGCACAGACTCCTGCTCCTGCAGGCGGCGCAGGCAGACAGCATGGAGGCAGCGGCTCGGGGCCAAAGCAGAACATCCCTCCGGCCGCTTCCACGACTACATCACACCACGCACGCACACATCCGTTGCACAAACAGCGGGAAGAAAGCAGGCGCGTGCCTGCATGTGCAGGAAGATGTTGTCCTCATCCAGCACCGAGTTGTTGCCCAGGTGGCCCAGGAAGGCAGGCATGACCTTGAACGCCAGCGGCAGCAGCTTGTTCTTGAAGCGGAAGGGCTGGCGCACGATGGCCCGGCAGCGACCGGGCGCCACGGGCACGCCGTACACCGCTGCGTGGAGGCACGGCAGGAGGGGGCGGGGAGTGGCAGTGGTTGGGGGGCTCTGGGTACGTGTGTGAACCCATGATGGGGTGGCGGCGTGTCGTGTGATGCTATGATGAGGTGTGGAGTCTGAGCGCCGACTTCGATGCATAGGCAGCTTTGTCGGCGCCTGCGGAGCCCTCTCACCCGTGATGTTGCCAAAGCCGCGGGTGTCGAAGGCGTCGATTGTGTGGCGCATGAGCACGGGGCCCTCAAAGCGAGTGTGCTGCGCGCCCAGGGCACCCTTGCGCGGCCCTGCAGCGGCACCACGGGAGGCAGCAGAAGGCTCCAGATCAGCCCTGTGGGAGGCTAGCGGCTGCTGTACTCAGGCTGGGCACACGCAGCTGCTGCTGGGCGGCTGCCGCTCGCCGCAAGCACTGTAGGAGAGAGTGGCGCCTGGGGCTGCCACCAGAGTGTATCTCACCGGTGGGCCACACCCCCTGGAAACCAAACTGGCCGCGCTCCAGCACCTGCACAGCAGGCGACAGCGGGGCGAGGCAGGCTCGGAGCAGCACGAGAGAGCGAGCCATCAACTGCTGCCCGATGGCGAAAACGACTTTCAGCGTGGCTGCTCCAGGCGCAGCTTCCGTGTAGCTGCTCCCGGCTTGCCTTCATGTCATCAAAGATCCCGCTGCTCTGCCGCTTGGACACGCTGCCTGCAGGCAGACGGTGACAGCAGGGTGGCCGGGGATCAATCCCTGCGCCTCTACACTGCCAGGCTGCCTGGAGCTGCTGCGTCCAAGCTGGCTGCACGCCCAGCGCAGCCCGCTCACCGTGGTGCGTGAAGGGCACGTGCCCGCAGTCCACCACATTCTCAATCAGCGTGGCCCAGTCGTCTGCATCAGCCGAGGCGGGTGGCAGGCAGGCACGGAGTGGGACACATGGGTGACGGGGGCAGAGCAGGGGCATCTGCACACCAGCTAGCCATCCAGCGGCAGCTGCACAGCCAGCGGCCCAATCCATGGTGGCACTCTCACAGGGTATGTCGCGCCACATGTCCCCAAACGCAAACCAGCCCTCCTTATCCAGCTCAGGAATGGTGTGTATGCTGCTGGTGTCGGGCTCTGCAGGCGCACACGCCGGCAGATGGACTTACTCCCACCTGCACTGGTCCCACTATCACCTGCATGCGATACCGGTGCCAACAAGCGGTCCCAAGCACAACCACCTCCTCAGGCTGCCACAAAAGCCGCGCCATGCGCGGCAGCTGGCGCCGCGGCGGCGGTGGCACCCCGCACCTGAGCCGTCGGTGGGGGCGGGCTGCAGCTTCACCCACACCAGTCCCTGCTTGACGGCGCACTGGTAGGCGGTGGCGGCGGCCCGCGGCGCCGTGGGGTCGCCTCCCTGGGGCATCAGGGTGCAGGTGCCGCACCCCTTGAACTGCCAGCCTGCGGGGGGATGGGAGCGGCCGGCAGCCAGGCGTCAGTTTCACAGATGGTTGCTGCTCCTCACAGGAGATGAGAGGAGGAAAATAGAGATCCCTGTTGCCTCCTCAGCAGCAGGGGCGCAATGCGGTGTCCCGGGCGCACCGTGGTAGGGGCACTGCAGCTCGCCGTTGGGCGCGATGCGGCCGTCGCTGAGCGGCACGAGGCGGTGGGGGCAGGCGTCGCGCAGGCAGCGGTAGGCGCCGCCGCCGTCCTTCCAGATGACACTGGCGGGAGGGGAGGGGAGGGGAGGGGAGCAAGCCCTGTCAGATCATGGCCAGTGGGGAGGAGGGAAGAGAGAAGGCTGGGCCAGAAGCAGGGGCACAAGAGCCAGGCAGCACGCAGGTGCTGGGTCCCGGCGACAAAGACGCGCGACAGGCTGGGCCTGCGGCGTCGATCGGCTGCTCACATGGGCTGCTCCAGCAGCACAAAGCCGTAGGGCGCATCATCCGGGATGTCCTTCACATAGGCGATGGGGTACCACTGCAGGGGGCGGGATGGGTGGCGGGGACCGGCGGGCAACAGAGAGTTGCTGGCGCTCAGCAAGCTTCGCTTTCTATGGTATTGCTCGTCGGGCAGCTACGCCACCAAAGAGCCACCAGCAGAGCTGTAGCCCACCTGGTCGAACCAGTTGAAGGTCGCCTCCGGCTGCTCCGGCTGCTCCTCCTGGGAGGGCGGCGCGGGTGCGGGGGTGGCCGTCCAGAATGCCGGCGGCGCGGGCGGGGCCTGGGCCTCTGCGGTCGCCGCAGGCGCCAGCTGGCGGCGGCTGCGAGCTGCGGCGGGGCGGGTGCTGCTGCGGGCCACCCGGGCTCCCGCAAACGGCCGCCTGCAGGGAGGTCAGGCAGCGTGGGAGGTAGCAGGAGAAGCGACGGGCGGCGGCGCGGCAGGCGCCCACTGTGCGCCTTGGCCAGGCCTGGGGCGCCAGTGCAGCGCCGCGCATTGGTGTCCGATCGGCATGGATCACCTGGCACCCAGGTGTGGGCAGCAAGCCGCTGGCCCCGAGGCCAGGGCCGAGCACTTCTGCAGCACCATGATTCTGGACGTCCTAGCGCCCTCCCATACAGCCCGAACTCGCGCTGATTGCGATCCAAAGTGAATGCACACAGTTGGGCGGCAAAGCGGCCAGGTTTGAGGCTCCTACCTCCGCCTTTTCCAGCCGGGCAATGCACAGCTCAGCAGGTTCATACCTGAGCCCCATCCCCGTGCCGCGCAGTGTGTGCTGGGTCAGGCAGGCGCTGCAGACACAGGAACGTCGGGGTGCTCCAGTGAGGTGCGTGGGGATGGGTCGGCTGCGTCGCCTGCGGTCGCTCTGGCCACCGCAGAGCGCAGTGGAGTACGGCCAGGTGCAGGCCGGCACGATGGCAGCACGGGCCCTGCGCGCATCTCCAGCCCCGCCGCCGCCTGGGGCGAGCCGCTATGTGGGGCGGCCAGCCCAGCCCACGCCCTCTCCCTGCCGTCTGCGGCATGATTCCCTGAGTTTTTCGCCACTCGCCATGTGGTGCAGGACAGGAGGCATCCACCCTTCCCTCTGCGTCATCCGCGGGCCCAAGCCGCCGCAGCAGCCTCTCTAGTAGCGGTGGCAGGCGGCAGCCATGGGCTACAACTTTCGGAAGGCCGACGCCTGGCGGCAACACCCGCTGCTGACCAACACCTGGCGCCACTCCATGCCTGGCCTGGGGCTGGGCCTGGTGGCGTTTGCTGCCTACGTGGCTTATGACCAGATGACCAAGCAGCAGAGCGGCAAGACCGAGCACCACTGAGCACCGAGCTGCCGCTCGCGCACAGCTTGTGGGTTGCCCTCATGCTGCCTGCGTCGGGCCTCCTTGACCCCCGCAACCCTTGTGTCTCTCCTGTTTCTGCTCTCCCTGGCCTGAGGCCACCCCTCCACCGCTTCCTCCCTCCAGCCTGCCATGCACACCAGCTGGTGCTGAGCTGACGCACTGCACCGCGTCCTGAACCTGTAAGGCGTGCCGCCCTAAGCAGCCCCTCGCTCAGATCTTAAAGGCAGTGGGGTGGTTACAAGGCCGCCACGGTGAGGCAGCTAGCACCTGGCTACAACATGCAAGCAGCCTGCCCCGGGGCCTCCCTGCGAGCGGCCATGCCTGGCAGGCCGTCAACCGGCAGCCGAGCCGCGCGCCTGCCGCTCAGTCGCGCTTCAGCTCCAGGCGGTCGGTCTTGATGCAGTCCTTGGTGATGATCAGGATCTCCACGTCGTCGCCCTGCAGGAGCAGGGAGGGAGGAGGCAAGGCAGGGAGGGACCAGGGTGAGCAGAGCACCGCACTGATGCGTAGCGAGTGAAGAAGAGTCCAGCAGGGGGTGGCGGCTGGACAGCTGGGAGCGCATGGGCAGCGGCCAGGGGCTGCCGAGTGAGGCGCGCAGGCAGCTTCAAGAAAAACACAGGCGCCGAGGGCGGGGCACGCTCACTGTGTAGATGTCACGCTCCCCCGCCGACACAAACGCGCCCTTCACCAGGTCTACCGCCTGCTCCAGCGGCAGCGAGCTCAGCCATTGCTGCGGCAGGGGTTGGGCGCGGCGGCGCGGGTGGGGCGCAGCCAAACGGGTGGCTGGGAGGCGAGACGAGGTGCAGTGAAGGATGGACCAGAACCAGACCAGGGCACCCACGCGAGGCTCCCTGCTCACAGCCAGCGCGGATGAGCGCCCGCAGGCGCCAGCCCGGCCCGCGGCCCACCTGCGGCGGCAGCGCCAGCGGGGATGCCGCCTTGAGCTGGTTGTCCAGCACCGGCTGCACCAGCTCCTTGCCGCTGCCTGCACGCCAGCGCGGGAAGTGGGGGGCGTGCACGTGAGTGGGGCAGGGGATGGACTCATTGCTGGGGGGAGGGAGGCGCGGGAAGGCTGCCTGCGCTGCGGCCGCAGGCTGCGCGGTCGAACCAGTGGCACACAGAGTGCCAATGCGCGTGTGCAGCAGAAATGGCTGCCGACACCCTAGCGGTGTTCATTTGTGCGTCTGCCCCACGCCGCCGACTTGCCCTGGCAGCCGTAGCCCACACGCTCATACGAGCCGATGGCATCATACGTGTACACGGCGCCGCGGCCTGCAGGTAGGGAAGCAGGCAGGCACGTGCGGCGGATGACATGTTGGAGAGGGGTGCTTGGGGGTCAGGATGGCGCCAAGCCAAACCGCGACGAATGCCAGTACACCACCCCCGACAGCCTGGCACCCTGCCCGGCCCCACGCTGTCTCCCCGCTCACAGGCGCAGGCCCATCCCCGGCCCGGCCCCGCGCCGGCCCAGCCCAGCCCCCGGCTCACCCTCGTCGTCCAGGCCCGCGCACAGGTTGAAGGTGTAGTACGGGAAGAAGCGCTTGTAGTAGAGGGTGTTGGAGAGCAGCTGGGCCATGGCGGGGCAGGCCATGGGCTTGCGGTGGTTGAACTGGTACGTCACGTGCCGGCTGTGCAGCACCTTGTGCAGCGTCTCCTGGTCCGCCTGCATGCCCGCGCTGGCGATCACGCACTTGGGGTTCCTGCGGGAGGCGCAGGCAGCGGGCAAGCGGGTAAGGGAGGGTGACGGTGCGCCGGAAACAAACGACGGGGCAGGCGGGTGCTGCACCCAGCGGCCACGCTCACAGCTGCAGGATTTTGGACTTGTTGCGCGTCAGGATGGAGTAGCCTGTGGACATGCGGGTGCTGGCAGCGACGACGCAGTAGTCGTCGCCCGCCACCGCCACCACGGTGCCGCCGTTGTCGTCATACCTGCAGGGCGGGGGCGGGCGGCGCGATCGGCAGCCGCGCGGCGATGTGCAGGGTTCCCGGGCGGGCGGAAAGCAGCAACCAGCGGCTGCCAGGAGTGGTGATCAAGACGCAGAGGCGGGGTCTTTGCAGCTTCACTCACGGGCTCCACGTCGCGTGCTGCTTCACTGCTTGTCCTGCCGCGGGCACAGATGCCCTGACGGGCAGCGCTGCCGCCATGGTTGCCCCCAAAACGCTCCCCAGCCGGCGATCAGACAGGTGTTCAAGCTGCCGAAGCGGAGAAAGATAGACGAAATGAAAGGAGGTGGCCCCAGGATCGTGGAAAGGCGCTGGACGGCCAGCGGAGCACGCCCGCATGGCGGCGGGTGGCGGGCGGGGCCCTTTGGTTGCACATCAGCCTGGCCCCCACGCACCCCCCAGCTGCCTTTCCGGTTCAGTGATGATAATGTGGCAACAATGACGCCAGGACAACCTGGAGGAGCAGCGCTGCGGCGCTCCTGGCAGGCACGGCGAATCTTGTCGGTGCAACATCACAGGAATGGGCAGGAGAGCCAGCACCAACAATCGATAAGAGGTCCAGCGTACATGGTGTTACTGAAACGGAGGCCAGGCGCATTCAATGCTTGTGTCGGCAGGAAAACCAGACGTCGGATGCAGGAGGTGGCAACATTGATCCCTTGGGGTGCTGCTCGCGCGGCAAACGCATGCGAAGCTGCCTAAAATGATGAAAGAAGGAGGTAATGCGGCAGTGGAACATGGAGGCAAGCAAAAAAGGGTAGACAGTTTTGAGCTAGTGCTTGTGGTGGAAAACAGGTTGCTTGAGCGGCAGGCCAAACGTGGTGAATGAAAGAGTGAAAGAGATAACGAAACGGCATGCATGCTTCAGTCTACGGCGCTCCACGGAAGGGGCACATGGCATGCGGGTAGACCAGCCCCGGCACCAGGCAACACACAGCAACCATGTGCTAAGTGCGAGGCTGTGGCTGCATGTCACCCTGGACCTGGCTCAGGGCCCGGCCAAGGCAGGGACCAAGCGAATCAATGAGGCCAGGGATGCTCGGGAGTGCCAGGCTGCCAGGCATGCCCTGCAGCGCTGCCAGCAGCAGCCCTGCAGCCGGGTTGCCAGCTGCCAGGGCAGCGGCTGCGGCGGCCTCAGGCGAGGCGGGGGGTGGGGCTGGCTGTGTGGCAAAGCGGTTGGCGGCGGGGGTCGGTTGGGAGGCAGCATGTGCCGGGGCGCCCAAAGACAGCTGCTGTTCCTCCTTCTGCTGCTGCGCCTGCTGCCCTTGCTGATGCTTTTGGGCAGGCTGTGGCTCTCGTGGTTGCTGCTGCTGCTGGTCCTGCTCCTCGCGAGGCTGTGACAGCGCTGAGGCGCCGCGCGTTGCTCGGGGCGCGGAGTCACTGAGAGAGTCGCGAGTCTTGGGGGACGCGCCTCCATGGTGCCTGCCTGGCCGTTCCTCTCCAGAGGAGGAGGCCCGCTGGGGCAGCATGCTAAAACCGCTGGCCTCTCGCTGCCGCTTGACATCAACAGTGGTGGCCCGCCCAGCTCCTGCTCCTGGCACCTGCTGCTCCGGCTGCTCGGCCACACGGCCCAGCTGCTGCTGCGCCTGCCGCAACATTTGCGGGAAGGGTAGCTGCGGGGTGAGCGACGCAGTGCGCTGCCCGCTGGGGCCGCGCGACCGGCCTGTGCCGGGAGCTCCAGCTGCCATACCCATCACTGTTGCGGGGTGGCTCTCTGGTATGGCGAGGGTTGCTGCACAGCAGGAGGGAAAGCCGAGTTGAGAGAGAGCGCTGCTCTGCACCAGGTGAGAGGATGAAGAGCGAGCATTGGTCGAGTACGGCATCAAGTGCAGAACAAGGGGACTGCGAATGCAGATGCCCCGGCAAGCCTACGGCACTGCCGCGGCGGCACGGAGGATACGCGAAACCGCACCTTCGAAGAGTTCAAGCTCGCCGCCGCTGCACGTGTCCGTACGTCGGCTGGCTGGAAAGACGAGGCACCACTCGTCCCTGCACAGCAGCCACACCGCCAGCTCAGCACCCTACGCATGCCGCCGTGCCTTGCACAGAAGCCAGGTGCAAGGCCTGCAGGGAGGTCGGCGAAAGGCGGCAGGCGCAGGATTGCCCGCTCTGCACTCACTCGCACTTCCAGCAGGCCTGCTTCAGCACAGGATGGCGCCCCAGGTGGCTGCTGGCCTCGGCGGGCAGGCCGTCCCAAGACTCCCAGCATATGCCCGCAGTACCGTACACAACCACAAGGGAACAGGCCGGTAACCGCATCCGGCCCCGGCCCCATCCTCCCGTGCCCCGCCCCCCGCCCCCCGGGCCCCAAGCGTTCGTCGGGCCCAACCGCCGGTGGCGGCAAGATCCGCAGGAGCAGGGCTCCCACAGGGGGCGCCACCGCGGACTCGTCCCCAGGAAGCACCAGCCCCAGGCAGGGCAGTGCAGCCAGCGGCACGTGCATTTCCGCGCCCGGAAGCACCTGGCAGCGGTCCTGCAGGCGCAACCAGGGGGAGGGCGCAGGGAAGCGCGGCGGCGGGGATACGAGTTTGCTGAAGCGGTTGGCTGGGTGAGTACCTCAAAATGCAGTTCCTCGCTGTGTTGTGGCACAACAGTGCAACCCTGCACTGTTGGGAGCAAACGGGACTGGAAGCGCGCCGTCAGAACTCACCCACGCCAGGGCAGCTGAGCGAGAAGCCTCTTCCAAGTCTGCAGCTGCCCGCCAGCACTCCTCCTGCAGCTGCAGCAACCGCCCCAGCGGCCCCGGCTGGCTCTCCGCCGCTGCCTCGTGCGCCGCAGGAGGGCCAGCTTCTGGCTCTGCTGCTGCGGGCGCGGGGGGCGACGCGTGCTGTTTCATCCACGGCACTGGGTGATGGTGCAGCGGGGTGAAGCCTCGGGACCGAGGCTGCTGCTCTGCCAGGTGCACGCGATGGGGCGGGGGTCTTGGCGAGGGTCGTGCCAGCTGGTGTGTGTGCACCGGCTGTTGCTGCTGCTGCTGCTGCTGCTGCTGCTGCTCCTGGGCCTGCTGCTGCTGCTGCCGGTGCTGCTGCTGTTGCTGATGCAATCCAACAAGCTGCGCCAGCGCCGCTGGGCACGATTGCTGCTGGTCCAGCAGCGCCCGGATGGCTGGCTCCTGCAGCAGGTGCTGCTCTGCCAGCCCGGTTACCCTGTGTTACAGTCACCCCGCTATGATAGGCCGCGTGAGCAGACCTTGGGCAGGGGGCACACGTGATCAAGGGGCATCAAGAGAGGGGGTGGACCATGGAGCACCCTCTCCATGGCTCCGACCACCCTCCCCCCAGCTGAGCGTCCCAGGGTCACCCCACCCTGGCCCCGCTCCCCGTCCTGCCGGACACGCAACCCCCACAACGTGGTGGGGGACGTGGGGATCCTTAGCAGCTTAGGCCTGCCAGGCCGACGGGTGCCGATGCTGGTGCGGGCTCCCGGCGGCAGGCAGCGCCGCCGCCGGGCACTCAAATGGCATGGGGCACATGGGCCCCCATGCCCGCACATCTCCCAGGCACATGAAAATACCAGAAGGCTGCACATGTAAGGGTGCATGCATTGCAGGCAGGAGTGCAAAGTGGCCTGCCGCGGCGGTCGGCTGTGCCATTACTCAGTCAGCCGCCGCTACCGTGCCGGGCTTGGCGTTCCCATGCCAACATGCCGGCGTGCCATCGCGCAAGGGGCCAGTGAGTGTGTGAGGGGAGGGG